GGGCCAGGAGGGGCCAGGACACCAGCACCACAGGGTCTGACATCAACACCACACTCACATCAGCACCACCTCAAAACAAGAGTCCCGAGTGCAAACTCAAAATCAGCACAAGGGAACGTGAGGAAAACCTCAAACTCTGATGAAAGAAATCAAGGAAGAAGTAAAAGGAGTGGAGAGACCTCCATGCTCATGGGTGGGAAGGCCCAGTGTCCCAAGACGGCGCTCTCCCCAGCAGTCGACAGGCCCGGGCCAGCTGTTTTGCAGATGTTAGCACACTGATTCCAAAGCTAAGTGGAGAGACACAAGAGCAACAATAACTAGGACAAGCCTGGAGGAATGGACCGCAGGTGCACCCAACCTCAAGACTTCCTAGAGAAAGCCATGGTGACCGCCCAGGGGTCAACGGGAGGAGACGGCTCTAAGTGACGCCATCACCTTCTACATAACCGGTAGGCGGAGTGGAAGGGAAAGAGGCAGACAAAGCTTGGAATAAAGAAGGCCAACAATTTCCCCAAGTGAACTGCGGACACCAAACCACAGACATCAGGAAACTGAGCGGCCAGCAGGGGAGCCCAGCGCCCACCCGAGGCACAGCCCACCACAACTGCGGACAACCAACAGACAGAGCAAACGTGAAAGGACCAGAGGAAAGTGCACCGACCTAGAGACACAGGAGGAGAAGAACCACGCCAGCCTCTCCCAGAAACCACGCAGGACGGAAGGAAGGCGCCCACCCAGCCTGAAAAGGGAGGGCAGCCCAGAGGGAGAGCACCTTCCTCCTTGTCTTGTCTTTCTTCCCCAGGGACTGGACCCTTTTCTATTTTTTATTTTTTAATATTTTTTAGTTGTAGATGGACACAGTACCTTTTCCTGTGGTGCTGACGATGACCCAGGGCCTTACAGGTGCGCGGCGGGTGCTCTACCCCTGAGCACAGCCCCAGCCTCTCTATTTTTTATTTTGAGAGGGTCGGCTAAGCTGTGGAGTCTGGCCTTAAATTTGGCCCAAGTGTCTGGGATCACAGGTGTGTGCCACCACACCCAGTTCCAGCACCAAAAAAAGTGAAGGAGAACTTTTTCAGACAAACAAAAACTGAGGGAATTTGTCACCAGGAGACCTGCTTAGCAAGAAATACTAAAGATGTTCTTCAAACCAAAAAGAAAATCACGTAAGTCTGAAACTCAAATCCATGAAAGAGAGGAAATAAAGATAAAATGAATGTTTAATTTTCATTATTCTTCAATGATCTAGTATTTAACTTCTCTGAGCCATGGGAATGACAGGAGGAAAAATCTGGGCCCCTCGGTCCAGGGTAAACATGTCTCACAAACCCTAAGAATTATAAAATTAGAATTATAAAAAATTATAAATAGAATTATAAAAAATAGTTAAAACCAGACAAAGCAGGAAAAAAGTGGGAATATTTAAAAAGTACAACTAGAAAACAATTACAGATATTTCAATTATATTAACAACCAGTTTTAATGTGGGTTGTCCAAGTACAACCAATTAGAAGACAAACTGTTTGAATGACTACTAAAAAAAATAATTCTATGTTAAAGCCGGGCATGGTGGTGCATGCCTATATCCTAGCAACTCAGGAGGCTGAAGCAGGAGGATCGCAAGTTGGAAGCCAGCCTCGGCAACTTGGCAAGACCCTTAGCAACTTAATAAAACTCTGTCTCTGTCTCAACATGAAAAATAAAAAGGGTTAAGCATGTAGCTCAGTGGGCTTCAAGAGCCCTGGGCTTCATCCCCAGAACCAAAAACAAAATCATACATCGTCTACAGGGTTGCAAGTAAAGGGAAGGAGAGGTGCTCCTGTCAACACGCTCCCCAGAAAGCAGGTCATCGCGTCACCAGGGAGAGGCGGCCTTTCTCCCAGAGGACACGACCATCCCGGCATGCACGCATCCTAAGCGTCACACCCACAAGGTCAACACTAAAGGAACCGGAGGCGAGACAGATGAGTCCACCCCAGCCGGCACTTCAGCAGCCCACCATCAGGAACAGCAGACCACAGGCGGGACACCAGCAAGGACGCGCTGGCCCCACAGCACCATCAGCTGCCCGGCTATAAGGGGCCTTCAGAGACAACGTCACCAACACAGAGACCACATTCTGGGCCAGAAAACATATTTCAAAGTCACAAAACCTCAAGTCACACAAAGTACATCCCCTACCTACATGGAATCAAATTAGAAACAGAAGAATGTCTTTAGAAAAATCCCCAAATAACTGGAAACTGATACATGTCTTTAAAAGTTAAAACACAGCCAGGCAGGGAAACACATGCCCCATCGTCCCAGCTCTCGGAGGCCGAGACAGAGGGGCACAAGTTCAAGGCCAGCCTCAGTAACTTGGCAAGACTATCTCAAAATAAAAAGGGATTGGACGTAGCTCAGTGGCAGAGCAACCCTGAGTTCAATCCCTAGCACCAAAAAAAAAAGAGAGAACAAAAAATCCCTCATGAGTCAAAGTCAAAGTCAGAAAGGAAATTTTTACTGAGTAAAAATTAAATCAAAACGTATCAAAATGTGTTTGATACCACTAGAGTCACCTTGTGGGTAAGCCTGCACTAAACACCTGCATTAAACAGCAGAAGAGGGCTGGGGCTGGGGCTCAGTGGTGGAGCACGTGCCTCGCTTGGGAGGCCCTGGTTCGATCCTCAGCACCATATAGAAGTAAACAGAAGGTACTGTGTCCATACACAACTATTTAAATTTTTTTAAATAAAAAAGAAGAAAAGATTCAAGCCAGTGACCTCAGCTTCCACCTCCAGACATTAGAAAAAAAGAAGAGCAAACTAAACCCAAAGTCCACAGAAGGAGGCAAAGGTCAGGAAGGAATCGATGAAGCAGAAACAGAAACCGGGAGGAAATCCATGAGCCCAGGGTTATTCGCGAGGTCAGCGAGAGCCTAAGCCTGCGCAGGCCCAGGACGGCCAAGCAGGGCACAGCTCCACGGTGGACAGCCCTGGGCACTCCCAAGGCCCCAGAGCCTTGGCCTCTGGACCGCCCAAGCTAACAGAGAGCGGGGTTCACAGCTGCAGCGTCCCACAAAGTGCAGCCCCGCGAGGGCAGCCTCCCTGCTCAGCCCACCAGCCCCTAAGTTAGGCCGTTCAGAGGAACGGGGAGAAAGCCCGAGTCTCGCAGGAGCAGCGCCCTTACCTTCTCCTCGTAGTTGGGAAGCTTATCTTTGCATATGGTGATGATGTCCATCCAGGAGTAGTTTCTCTCCCTCCGGATCTTTTCCAATTCCGGATCATTCTCATATTTGTCAGCATCCAGCTAACAAGTTTAGACAACAAAAAGGAGTCATGTTAATAGGAGGTAGAAACACTCTCTTCCCAGACTGTGGTTGTGCCCCGACC